AACTATTAGTGCCTATTTGAATTTAACCTCTCGCAAAATATTAAGCCAAGCATATACTCCTTTATAAATCGATAAGGATGAATTAACCATCTACTATATCATGACATGGTGGGAACAGCAACTATTTTGTTGTGACATGGTGGTAACCAATCTCTCTTATATCGTGACATGGTGGAGGCGCCTAAGCTTCTTTCCTTGAGTCTCATTCCTCATAATGGACTCATCAATTTTTTTTTGCCCAGCGCCTCCACCATGTCACAACAAAAGTGTTGTGTTCCCACCATGTAACGATATAGTAGGTGGGTAGACCATCCATTATCGATTTATAAGAGGTTTGCTAGGCTTGCGAGAGGTAATATTCAAATAGGCACTAATAGTTTAGGGGTAACTCAAAAGTATGAGAAAATATTCAAACATAACAATGTTTATAATAGCATGAAACATTATGGGTGAAATGATTATAAATATGAATAAACAACAATGAATATGAAGACCTTATAACTTACATTATAACGACCATTACGACGAGATCTTGTCAAGTCAAGAGTAGCCCCAGACCAGACTAACTTCGGAACCCTCAGATCCAATATTTATATACATCATTTCATTAGAAATGCACGTTTCTCATGAGAGTTCCTTGGTCAGTTTTTATAATTCAATGTCAACGGATGATTTGATTTACTTTATGTTTATAAAACCCTCATGGTTAGAAATCACTGATATACCGTATGTTCTACTCGTGACATGACCCCTCTCTCCGAGAAAACTGGACCCCAGTTTTTAAATTATCACCTAACTAAAAATATCGAGGAGAACATATACCAAAGATTCAAAAATGACAAAAAAAAAACAATATATCTTGAAAATTGAGGTCACACACTCAAAAGTTCAGTGTCTACAATGCACACTCACACTTTTACTTAGTCCGGCACTGGCTATATTCAACTAAAGCATTTCAATCAGACTCTTCTCGGTGGGACTTCTGGCAGCTCGGGGGTAGGGAATGACGATTGGGCATGGCATCCTCCAATCGTCATGGGGATACCGGCAGGATCGTTTTGGTCTCGAAGGTATCCTTGTCCTGGGCATTGGGATGAGGTTTCCTATGTCATTCGAGGTAGTTGGCAGCTGAACGAAGGGAACTGCTGGCTGCTTGGGGTAGCGAATGACGACTGATGGGCAGTTGTTGTCATGATGGCACAACATCCTGGTCCATTCCTCTCAATGAAGCTAGTAGACGTCCATGGGCGGCAACGACAAATTACCGTCATATCAGGGGCTGATCAGGAATCTCGTGGAATGATTTTCGTGGTCTCCCAACGTCAAATTTCTAGGAGCTATTCACAACTTGTAGCATTCCCACTTATTTCCTCTTCGTTCCTGGGCTACCCAGCTACCATCGATTCATGTTGTACAGTCAAACAGTCCTTGGTTTGTCCATGTTTGGCCATTTGGCTGCATGGCTGCATCCCCCTGGGTGTCTGATTTCTTGATGACTGTTGTATGCCAGTACTCAGTGTGCGTATATTGTTTTGTATGATGCCGTGAATACATGCAAACAAATTGTTTATCAAATACCTACGTTACTATTTACATTAAAATGGGGAATTCTTCTATAACTCTATTATTATCCAATGAATAGTTCAAATAACCTATACTAGAATATGATTAGCCTATTGTGAGATCTATCATATATATCTTCTTCATTCAAACTTCTTAAATATGAATCCTAGTCCGAGAATCTATCCTAATTTTCATTGATTTATATTATATACAATATTTAGATAATAGAAGTACTTCAATAACTTCATACATTTTTCGAGGAACCGATCACACTATTTTATTTCCAAAAAATCATAAATAACTATCTATTTTGAAACTTATCAATAATGTTCGGTTTTTATAATATAATATTTCAACCTTTCCTGTGTTATTTGGAGCATTATTCATTATTTTACCTAAGTGAATATTAAATGCTATATCAACAACATGCAACTTGAACCAAAGGTGTCAAGTTCATGATTATTTACATAGGCGAGTTCGAAGATGGCCGGCAATTTAATTTTATTACTACTAGTAACCTAGTAGTAGGCAATATTATAGAATATTAGGAATGGTAAACAGTTTCAGGGAAATTCGAACTGCTTCTTCCTTTCTGGGCAAAAAAAATCATCTGATTGAATGAATAAATAAAAAATAAATTATGAGTTATAATATCTACTGGTATATTTATTACTTATGTGAAATATCGAGGAATTTCTTATAGATTTCTGTTCGATTGACTTAGTAACTCAGTAATTCAAATCATTTTTGTGGTGTTAGCTAATTTGAAATCGAAATGAAGATGAATTGCCAGTTTTGCCAGTTGAAAGTTATTCAAGTCATCAAGCGCGTGATTTGAAATAATGGTGAAATATTAACTTGTTTCATGTTAACCAACCAACGTGCCTTCTCGTTGAAAAATGTCTTAAAAAAATAATACCTATTTGGATAAATATATTATCGAAATTATCACCATGTTATTTCATACTTACATATTGATCATTTTTGACATTCCAGGTCCAATCCGTAAGATTTAAAAGGATATTCATCTGACAACTCATTATTGGCAGCTTGAATAAACTGATGAACCGTCCGAGAATTGGTACTTTCATGTACTTTGAGCAATATTTTGACTCAAGGGCCCTTGAGATTATTTTTTGTTTAATATGAAATATTATCAGAACTTTATTCGATTTATTTATTTATCTTTGGTGTAACCGGTTACAGAATGAATTGGCGTTTATTCAATTAAAAAAATATATGAATTCCCCTATTCACCATGTTTCGATGAATTCAAGTAGTGAGGTAGTTTATTATAAGAAAATTGAAAAATATGTTGTGATATTTCATCACTTATACATTATGGAACTGATTGAGAATACTCCTGTTAAATACCGCATGCTCATTCCTACAATTTTGTTAGAACTAGACCGTACATTTCTTTGTCTAACAACTCGCAAATATTTTCCATTTTCTGAAAATCATCCCCGGGGGTAAATATCATTATAATCATCTTCATAATTCATAAATATACATAATCATCACATACGAGCTCATTATTTCACATTAAATCATCATTTCATGTCCTATCAATTCGAGGACAAAATATCTTCAGTAAGGTTAATCCTTAGTGTGGCACATCTTCCAGGATTCCCTCCTATTTACTGTTATAGTGCATAATTCCAACTATAACACTTCGTACTTTTCAGAATATCAACCAAACAGCTACTTCTCTGGATGTGGTTTGGCTAGGACCACGAGATATGCTGAATAGGGTGATGATTATTCTGTACGGAAACGGTTTCCACTTGAAACCAAGTAACAATCTCTTCATTGAGAGTTTACATACACATCATTATTCTTGAGCTCAATTAATTCATTTCATATCATATTTCCATAACATAATAATATCATATTTGCGTATAATTCATTTCAGGAGGAATGACAAAAAATGGTAAACGATACCAACGTTTGAGAGTATTTTCAATGTTTGAAAGGTCATATATTATATACTGACTAAGATATTTTGAATCGAAACATTCTCAAATATTACTTGAATTATTAATTAATTGCATTCGCACTAATATTGAAATTTATTATAAATTATATCAAGCACGATGATTTGTTATTGTTTTGATTTCGTATTGTTATAAGACTATAGGCACGTTGTGAATGACTTATTATATTCTCAATTGAGTGTTCATGGCATTGGCATTGCATTTCTTGAATGATTTTATCAACTAAAAATAAAGATATTTGAAATTATCTTGATATGAGAAATGAAAAACTGGCAAGAATGAGATATAGGAAAAACTTTTTCCCAAATTCAAATAGAAAATTACGAGTAGAGAAAAAAAAAATAACAAAGTTCAGAGATAAGCTCCAAACTTTGTGAGTCTGGTCCGGTGCTTTATATCATGTCTTTGAATAGAAATGGAATGATTGTTATTCAACTTTTCAAGCTTACTGGTATTTAAAATATTGAAAAAAATTTAGGATTTCTAATTTAAATGACTTTCTTACATTGTTATCACCCATAATTCATGCTGCTATACTTAATTACTTTCAAATAACCCTTTCCACTAGTGCCTTTGTATGGAATATAAAATTGACATAAATCGATGAATGCAAAAAAAAATTGATGAGTCCATTATGAGGAATGAGACTCAAGGAAAGAAGCTTAGGCGCCTCCACCATGTCACGATATAAGAGAGATTGGTTACCACCATGTCACAACAAAATAGTTGCTGTTCCCACCATGTCATGATATAGTAGATGGTTAATTCATCCTTATCGATTTATAAAGGGGTATATGCTTGGCTTAATATTTTGCGAGAGGTTAAATTCAAATAGGCACTAATAGTTTAGGGGTAACTGAAAGTACGATACTATATTCAAACATAACAATATTTAATGAAGCATGAAACATTATGGGTGAAATGATGACAAATATGAATAAACAACAATGAATATAAAGACCTTATAACTTACATTATAACGACCATCACGACGAGATCTTGTCAAGTCAAGAGTAGCCCCAGACCAGACTAACTTCGGAACCCTCAGATCCAATATTTATATACATCATTTCATTAGAAATGCACGTTTCTCATGAGAGTTCCTTGGTCAGTTTTTATAATTCAATGTCAACGGATGATTTGATTTACTTTATGTTTATAAAACCCTCATGGTTAGAAATTACTGATATACCGTATGTTCTACTCGTGACAATATGACTGTCAATTGGCGTTATGTTTGGAGTTTATTGTTTTTCGGATGAATCCAGAGTGGAATTCACAGCAAATAAATGCGCGAAAATGTTGGCTTTCTCCTTGGCAGTTGTGGCTGTTACAAAGCTTTCACTACCTACTTTCAAGTTTTCAAAGCTTCCTCCTACTCATAGTTTCCCCTGAAGAATGCAAAAAATCAAGTGATCAACTACTTCATTTCTGTTTCAGATTGGTCAGTACACAAACCATCAACCTCCTCGCCAAATACAAATCAATAGTGCCTTAACCCACACCAACGGTATTTTCAAAAATATCATCACCGATCAACATCAGGAAGACTCGCAACAAATCTATCCCCGTGCTCAACCCCAAATTCAACTACAAGCCAATGGCAGGCCTCTATTGAAACAACTGAATAACAATGTACCATCTATGCAACAGAATATACAACCGTCGGTACAAATAAATATTCAATCACTGATCAAGCCAATGGATTCACCTGAGAAACCCAGAGCCCAACCCGCTCCAATTGTGTACAGTTTTGGGCAATCTGATTTAGGTAGCAAATATTTACCAGTGTTTAATAGCATCAATGGTAAAGCTATGCAGAATAAAAAATTAACTTGGGGAATGGAAACAAATTTTGAGTACGAGGATGATTTTGCCGATATTTTGGGGTGAGTATATACGCTTCGAATTGAATATATTTTTCCTACTATCGTGCGCAAAGTAGTACTTTTCTGCACTAGTTTGCGTGCGCAAAATGATACTTTTCCGCACTCAGTGCGGTTATGGTATTTAATTGTTATATGTGATTGTTGTATAGTTGAATTTTTCAATAAGTTATAATTTTTTTCATTTTCCTTTTTATCTAATATGAAGCTCGTAGGAAAAAAGTTGATCCTTACACGTGCGCAAAGTGTCTTTCCGCACGCAAAAACTTACTAACTGTATATGCGTGCGGAAAAGTAACACTTTGCGCACTTGTTAGGAAAATAACTATATCCCTAACAATACAAACCACGTGTTCGAATTTGCAATTTTCAGAATAGTACCAAGGTGAGTAATAATAATAATAATAATAATAATAATAATCATCGACTTCATTCACCAATATAAAAATAATACAGAATATAATACAATGGAAAGAGAGTTCATATGTTCATGGTGAATAGGCGAAGATCAGCTAAAGCTGTTTTTCATCTTAACCTCTGTGAGCGAAAAAGAAAAAGAAACACATATGGAGCTAGTACACTATCTTATCTAATCTTATCTCTCTTATAATGAGAATAATAATACTATTGATAATAACATCAACGACGATAATAATAATAATAATAATAATATTATATTCAATTTCATATCATTTGAAGTATTGATGGACAAATATAAAAGAGCTAGGTTCAGCAGCGATCATTCAGTCTCGAGCGGTATCTCATCGTTTGTTTCAATCTTTTTTAAAGTTGTATAAAGGGAAATTCTTGTATTCTATGGGGAGCGAATTATAGTGTTTGGATGCGTTGTAGGCAAAACTACGTGTAAATAATGCTGTGGAATGTCACTAAATAACTAGTAAATGGTTTTTCCTGGTGTTTAGTTGATTTACATTCGAGAAAGGGACTAGCCTTTCACGCAAATATGGTGGTTCACCTGTCTGTAGGACCTTATGAGTAGGTGTCAGTAAGTGAAGTTTGCGTAAGCTTTCTAATTTAAGCCACCCAGATTCACTGAATTTAGATATGATATAATATGGTCGTATTTCCGAATACCGTAAGAAAATCGAATGCAGGAATTCTGAATTTTCTGAAGTCGTGAAGACCGTAAATGCTATAACAATAATAATATGACAATTTAGATAATACTAGAGACTCGCACAATTCAAGTTTCATTTTAGTTGATAATATGTGACGATTAGGATACAATTGTCTCAGTACATTATAGGAGCTCTGACAAAGATAACTTAAATGTCTAGTAAATCTTAAGTCTTCGTCAACCCATAAGCCAAGATTTTTAGTTTCTTTAACCATAGGTAGGGGTGTTCCTGCTAAGTTGATGTTGAAGCCAGGTCGCGCTCGTTTAGATTTTCGGCCGAAAACTATGGCGACAGATTTAGTTGGGTTAAGCATGAGGTTATGAGCAGCCGAAATGTTATATAATGATAAAAGACCATCTCCAATAGCATTCACGGATTCGGGAATTGAATTTGTAGGAAATTTTAAATAAATTTGTGTGTCGTCGGCAAAGTGATGAACAGTGCAGTTTTTGACATATTTGTGAAAGTCTGCACTGTAAATTGAGAAAAGGATTGGCCGCTGATAATGCAATTGAAATAAAGGACTATGTGCCTGCAGGATCATTTAATTTTTGTGCATTGAAAATGTTGATAATGTACTTGAAATGATGGGCAAGACTCGGAGGATGATTCAAATTGAATCAATCATGTGGCATAAAAACGTGTTTTCTCTATTATTTCGTATGACTTTTGTGCTGGAGTAATGGTTCCCTTGAAATTTGACGTACATATCAATAATGTTCACGACGAGTTGTGTTGATATGCACAAGCGAAACTGCCGAAACTAGTCTCCTGTAATTTTTTATACGAGGTTCAACTGAAAAATTTGTTTCCTGCAACTCTCGGTGATACCGGAAATTGTTCTCGACTTCATTATTTTGGATGAAATGTACCATTAATTATTGACTTCCAATCTGATTTCGTTCAGATTATCATGTCTCTATAGGTATCAAAACTTTCGATAACATCTCAAAAATATCCGACAGAATATTGAAGCTAGTCAACTTTTCCTATTAAAAAAAGTTCAGTCATAAAATGAATGTTTTCGAATAGTTACTTACTCTCTTCTTCCCAATGAAATTACAGAATCGAAAATGTACAGTTTCTGCACAAACTTGAATACACAGATATGTTCAAGGTTATTGAGGAATTTCATATACTTACTTTATTATATCAATCGGCATTGGCTTGCCGAAAATATTAGCAGGTTTGTTATTCCGAACGTAACATCAGTCTATGAGTGGGGCCTGCATTCAAAATGTTTCGTCTAAGTTCGACCCCACCTTGCTACATTTGCTGTATATGACTACATACATCGGTGGTAACGGCGGTTGAGGTTATATCCATTGTTGAATCCAAAACGGGACATAGCCCCTTTATAACAACGAAAATGTTGGTATTTACAAATTGCTGTACCCTTTGTAGGATATTTTAGAAATGTTTTCAAAGATTGGAGTAGCTGTTGTTCCCATTCATGTAGATCCTAGAAGTATACGGTCAGATAAGTCTTGAAATTTCGCATCTGTTTTATATTTAATCTTGAATAGCTCTGGAATTGCGTACCTACTCTAAACATATGAAGTTCTGAATGATGTTATATTGTAACTCAGCGTAGATTCTGAAAATGCAATTGAACATAGTACATTCCATTCGAAATAATGTCCATTTCAGGTATAGTTCCAGAAAACTGTCACTATAGAAACATGCTAGAAACGAACACTTCAGAAAACACCCGTATCAGAAAATTAGTATCAGTTCGTCGAGAAAGACCGTGTATATTTGTATTTTATTATTCTACACATTCAACGCAAAGAACTTCAATGCATAATTATAAATAGTGAGAACTGAAATGTTCTAATAGTAGATGTACGGTTGCAACTTCGAAAATCGATGACAGCATAGTAGAGACAAGTTGTTCATAAAACTTTTTGGAATATTCTGAGACGAAGACTATTTGAAAATGATGTATAGGTAGGTATAGGTAGGTATAGGTACAAAAAATTATTACTTTCTGGTCAAATTCCGCATATTATCAAGATGAGAATAATCTGATTATTGACATTTGCTTTCTTTCTCTGATTTTGATCGTGCTCGTCTTGAGGGTCTTGAAATCAAATCTTCAGCATAGCAGATTCTCAATTCATTCTCAGTCGAAACTTCAAAGCCTCAGATGGATATGGATTCACTATCAGAAAGTCTACTCAGAACTATAGAAGCTTCATTTGAGTGTATTCCAGGAAAGGGCAAGGAACCCACAGAACATTTTTATATGGTATAAAATGGGCCATCGACGGAATTGTTTTCGGGGTTCAATGTCAAATGCCTTCCAATTGAGAATCAAATATTGCTGTGGAAAAAGATACAGGGCGTTTCAATCGAAAAAGAATGGACTATAAACTGGCACCAAGATTCTTCCACTAACAAGAAAAATAATTTAGCAGCAAAAATTATCTGACACTCCAAAGCACACTATTCATGAATGGAATCATATTTGAAATCCTCTTCCGAGACTTTGAATTGTTCAATTGCGTTTTTCTCGAAAACGGATGAAGATATCGTGTTCAAACAAGAGTACCAATATCACGTAAAAATTATGTCTATGTCGTATTTTCTAATGAAAATAGCTGAAGAGTTTCTTCAAAGAAAGTTACCAGTCGATTCATCAGGAATCATTCACGTGGCCCACCATGTAAAAAACTGTAGAATGGTACATAAAATAATATTCCCTGTATACAATTATGCCTGTGTCGATTGATGAATCCAAAGTAGAATTTTATTAGCAACAAACGAGGAAAATAATTCAACTTTAACACCCTGTATTCCACAGGAATATTTTGTCAAGGCACATTTGGTCCTATCGCCATATCCTGGTCGAAACATTCCGCCTTCAGCCTATGTCTCTTCATTTTTCATTGACTCGGCCGTTACGTTAGATTCCATCCAGACAGGAGCCATTCACCTGGTTAGTGATGCCACACTCACTAATCCTTCGACCTTATCAGAACATCGTAGAAAAGTCGGCGAACTTTCACGTTTATATAGATAGTTCCACGAGAAATGTTTTTCAGTAATCTCTGCTATCATTTAATCACTAGCAATACCAGTCAGTCGAACTTGACAAGTCAAGTCAGCACATCCTATCATTGTGTGAATGTCAAACGTCACTTCACGAAAACTCGAAAAGCATACCGATTCCCTTCCGTGCGCGCTAAGAGATGAACAAGCTACTGATATACATTTTAGAATAATAATGGGCTTATATCACAAAAATTTTTTATTTCATAATTCGATAGAACTCACCCAAACTAGCTCACCCCCTCAAACCGTTTCTTGCTGTGAGCTCCCTACGTTTTATAAAAAATTATTGAGATTCCCGATTTTTCGGACCTCTGAAAACGAGGCGATGATGTGACGTCAGAACCCTAATACTGAAACAAAACTATTCCAGACAGAGATGAATGATACATGATTTCTGACAAAGTGAATTAGCGCGAGATCACAGTTGAAAGAATTAATATATCAGTTGCCGCAGTTTCCGTCGGGCGTTTGGTATTTTCTTTCAACTATGGCGAGATGGGGTTTCTACGTCATAAGAGGGTCCGTTTTCAGATAGTACTATTATTTATGTCCAAAAATAAAACATTCCAGTTAATTTTTCGATCGAATTATGTCGTCAATCATTATTTATGTATAAAAGGATCATTATAAACATGGTTTGAGTTAGAAGTTCTACTAAGGTGTACACGCCCATTGTTCCGGAATTTTGAGTACTGATCTATTTCGTCATGTGTGTTATTGATATCTACAGGAAAATTCATTGTAAAATTATTTTTGTAGAAAATCAGGGGGGAGGGAAGATTAGGATTTTCAGAGTTTGAAAATTCA